GCTCATTTATTTATGTCTGGTTATTAATTTATGCTTTATTCATATAGAAAATTCAAAAACTGAATATTATTTATTCAAAATATTTCATCACTTTTGCATTTTATTCCTGAAAATAAAAATTCTTTCTAAATGAGCTCTTTTTTTTTTTCTCTTAAACACTTAACATTGAGACAATAATAACTGAGAAGGTTGATAAAATCCAAAGAAGAATCTGCAATGTTATAGGTCCTGACCTGGCATCTTGGTTTCACTCACTTTCCCACTACCTCAGTGTAGCTTACCTGTGCCTTTTCTATAAATACTTTCATTGTAATTATGAATTTAAGCACAGTACTTGATTGGCGGCAAGGTCTCATCATTTTACAGTTGAATTGGATAGATGTAACCATCAGTTCTATGCTAACAGTTTCTTCTATTGCACTTCTCGCTTGTGGAACACACTTCCAGTTTCTTGCTTCTCAGTCAACTTTCATTTTCAAAAATTTAAATGCAATGCCAATCATTATTTTCTATCTTCTTAAATCTTGTTCTTTTATTGTCCTCTGTCTTTTAATAGTATATTTTCTTATACTCTCTAACACTCAGTAACCACCTTGCATCTTAGTGGCTTGGGGTAAAATGATTAAAAAAAATAAAACATCTTGTTCTAAAATTACAGTAAATTAACAAAATTATGTTATTTAAATATCTAAAACAATTATTTTAAATTTACTGTTTTTAGACTTCTTAAATTCTTAAAGACTATCACCTAATGAATTTAATAAAGTTATAGAATGTATAATTTCAAGACAGAAAACATGTAAATAAGATTGATCGCAAAACAAAGTAACAAAAAATTATTTAAACTTTTATAGAAAATTGTATTTTTTTTAGCTATAATTATTTAAGCTATATTAGAATTAACATATGACTGGCTGTAGAAAGTAGAACAAAGAAATTCAACAAATTCTTCTAGGCATTATCATCTTTTAAATAATAGAGGCTTTTTGGAATGAGTTGTCTAAATGCTTTGTTTGAGCAATCACATGTGTCACCAAATGTGGCAGGGAAAGTGTAATATATAAAGAGAAGAGTGAATATCAAGGCAGTGGTTTATAGTATCATTAGTTCTTCTGCTTCTATTTATAGCTCACTCTCTTTTCACCATTATGCTGATAATCTTCAGAGCAGCCTATTAAAAACAAGTGTGTCAGATCAATGCATTTATTACAATTATGTTTATTAAAGACACGTGTGTCATTCAATCACACAATGTGTCAATTCAATCATTCACAGGAGGAATTTTTGTTAACTTTGTCAGATTAAAAACATGCATTATTACCCCACCTTCCAACCTTGTTTGAAACTGCTTTAATAAGATCTATAATAAATTGTAGCATCAAGTAATTATTAGGATGCAATAAACATTCATCTGAAGATAGTTGAATTAATAAATATTTAAAATTACCATTATTTGTGATAATTCTTTTCAATAAAACATTTTAACTTCCCCATTTTGATTAAATAGTTCTATGAAAAAAATGGTAATTATTTACAAAAATTAAAAGTGTAAAAAGAAAACTGAATATTATAAAATATAACAAGAAATTTCCTAAGGCAAGACAAGAAATAATATACAACACAGGGGGCAGTTTGAGGACAAAAGAATTCAGAGCATTTCAGAGAAACCTATATTGATTTTTTATGGTGTACAAAGCAAACCCCAGAGAAAGAAAGTGGGAAGACATTTTGTAAGTGATAAAAAAAATAAAAAAATAAAAACAGAATTATTTTATTTAAAAAGTCCACAGCCTAAATTTTGATTTGAAATTCTATACATTTCACAAGTAAATTATGCTCTCAAGTAATTTCCCTCTGCAAAAAAAGCTACCATTAAAGATAAAATGAGCAAAATTTCATTCTAAAAAAAAGGAAATTTATTTTCCTAAAACACATTATTTAAATTCAAAGCCTATTATAAGTATTTATAATGATAAAAACCATGTAGCCTTTAATTCTCAATTAAACATATACTGCTCAATTTTGCATGTTGCGGTTTACATTAAAATAGAACTGAAGTTACTTCCACCCACATTAATCCAGTATATGTTTAATTGAGAATTAAAGGTTACATGGTTTTTATCATTATAAATACTTATAATAGGCTTTGAATTTAAATTACTTTTAATGTATTTAATGTACAAAATGAAAAAAAAATGATTAAGATTTATTTTTTGATTTATCTGATGAAATTTCTCTCCTTGAATTATTTTATTAGAAACAGATTAGTTTTGTTAAAATTGTAAACCTTTAAAAAATGAAATAGTTCTCGATCGATTTCATGAAATGGGAGAGAGAGACAAGTCCTGAAAATAAATCTATAGAGACAGATTGTTCTTGTTCTACTATTGTGTGTACCATTGTCACAATACAGTATGTGGCTCAAACTGGTGGTAGGTGGACTACAGGGAGTTGTATCAGCTGCCTTCAAACCAATACCCCAAAGTTACACTGTCTTAATTTCTCACTGAAAGTAAAAAGCCATCTTTTCACCAGGGAAAAAAGTTTTCTTGTAATAAAAAATAGCACAATACAATGGGATCTGTATTGGCCACTTTTATTGTCCCCAGCAGGGAAATACTACTGACTACTTGTTAGTGATGGATAGGGTACAATGAATGAGGGAACTACACCCGCCTTTTTTCAGACATTGTGTTTGCTGCTAATTCAAAAACCTCACTGAATAATTTTGGAGGGAGGGACTCCTTTTTTTTTCCAAGAAATCTCAAATTCTCACTAATTGATGATTTGTTAATTCACAGTTCAATGAAAAGTCACCACCACACCCTTTTTTTCTGAAACTTGAGATCATCAACTGACCCTATCAAATATATCATAGTTCAGAAATAGGATACATTTTCAGCAAACTGTGTTTTTTTGTATTCTTTTAGTTAGATCTTTATTTCTAATCCCTAACTTATTCTCTTTTATGCACAATGTCCTCACTTTCTTTTCTTTTTTTTTTTGTACTGCTAAGTTATCACTCACACTGTTTCTGCTCAGTTTAACACAAAAACATCAAGCTGTACTAAATAAGAACAAGTTAAGATATCCCTAGAAATGGAAAGCAGAAGAAGAACAATCAAATCCCATAGATTAAATAAAGTGTTCAGTTTGAAATTACCTGAAGGTTAGTAACCTTCAACAGACACCTGAAGTAGACTGGATAGCACAATAACTGAAATGTTGTGATAGTAATAATAAAGAAGAGGACAACACTCATATTTTTCGTTCCTTTCATGTTTAGTCTGAATGTGATAAAGAATAATTTGTCATTCCAGAAATTCAGAGAGAAATAAATTATATCAGGAAAATACATTTTTAACAAAAAAAGTTAAAATTTCGAAGTAATAAATATTTTCTTATTTCTCTTTTATAAAAATATGTTTTGATGTGAAACAATGAAAAATTTGAGCCACTAGCACCCAAAATATAATTGATAATAGAATTTTTCCAAATATTCAAATTTTTTTAATTTGTCGACAGCCAAATTCAAATACTTTGAGAGATTAACTTATGATTTACTCTAAGTGGCAACATGAGGTTAAAGTAAATGCAATTTTGACAATTGAAAATAACAAAATTTTCTCTATTCTTTGTTAATTTCAGTTTTGATAGACATTTGAATTTTCAGATATTAGCAAATCTATGACATTAAGTTTTTTTGAAAAGAAATTAATAAAGATAAATAAATTAATAAAGATTAAAAATGAAGATTAAACTTAATTAGTTAACTGAAATTGTTTTTATCAGGAGAAAAAATATTATTAAAAAAGAATATTGTTTATATCTGAGAAATTCTTTTTTTTTTCTGATTAATCACCATTTGTAACTTTCCAAATATAGTTTATTACAAACATTGTTGGAAATGGAGAATTGTGCTGCTCTGATTTAGATTTCAACTCAGGGTTGTAAAAAGAGTGCAATGTGGCAAATGTCTTATAAAGTAACAATGTTGTTCCAATTTTTTTTTCTTATTTTGAGCTAGGATAATAACAGGTATTAAAAAATTTAATAAAATAATGAAAAATATTTTGGTCTTTCCTCTTAAAAATAAACATTTTGAGGATAAAACTGATTTTATCAAGTTTAGAGCCTTTTTTGAACATGGTATGCTCTATCTGTGAGTTTTGTATAAAAATTATAACATTTAACTTCTGAAAAAAGAAAAAAATTTCGTAAGCTCAGTATAGAAACTATCTCACTTGTTGGCTATTGTGGCATGTAGGGGCTTCCTTACTTTGCTTGATTCAGCAGTAGCAGCAACAGAAGTAACCAGCAGAGTACAACCAAAAGTCTCAGAAGTCATAAAAATGCTGACCAAGCCCTATTTGACCTCTTTTCTATTTTCTATTTCAGTGGCCCCTACCTTCAAGCTGAGCTCAAAGAGTTACTCAACCCTTGCCGCAGAAGATGAGGCCTGTCCTGGCAGCTTGACCTCAGATTTATTATTCCTCCCATGGGAATTGGCAGAGAAATCTCCATTTGAGACACCTACTAAAAGGAAAAACTATGCACAACCCTTGCTGATGAGGCCTGTTTTAACAGTTTCACACTCAGATTTTTCGTTTCTTTCATGCAAACTAGTGGAGAAATCTCTCTACAAAACATCTGCTCAAGAACTTTGTTAACTGGGAAACCTCACTTTTTCCAATAAAATACTACTACATTGCACTCTTTCAACCAGAAATAAAAGCTGTTGAACAGTTATTTTGAGCCTTGGGTTTTGTTTATTCCACTCTCACTGCCAAGAATGTATATATATACACACATGCAACCAAGAAAAATTCCTAACATCAGTGTAAAAGGAGAGGACAAAAATTCTCCCCACCAAAATATTTTAAGCAATTTTCACTACCGGTGTCAGTCAACAAGAAAAAACAGAAAACTTGGGAAGATTGAGTGTGACAGACGCAGATAGCCTAAACACGCATACACGCATATGTTAAGGTTAATTTCCGCTAAGCAACAGAATGGGGGTTACGTGGAAGACTCATTTGATAATGATGGAACTTGTCCGATTCATCCCAGGCAACTCCGGACAAGAAATAAGTAGAGAAGAAGTATTCCTGTTCAATAACCCCAAATTGAAGACGCAGAGAGATTTGTACGCTGAGAATACAGCCTGCGTTTGAAGAAAAGAGAAAACCAAAGAGAAAGAAAGTATATACCTCTGTTACAAGTTGAATTGTGTAAAGAAGAAGAAAGAAAGAAAAAGGAAAACCAGAGAGGAAGAAAGTGTATATCTCTGTTACAAGCTGAATTGTGTAAAGAAGAAGAAAGAAAGAAAGAAAGAAAGAAAGAAAGAAGAAAACCGAAGAGAGGAAGAAAGTGTATATCCCTGTTGCAGTGAGTCGGATTTGGAAACTGAACTGTATACAGACGAAGAAAGAAGGAAAGAAAAAAGGAAAGACAGAGAGAGGAAGAAAGTGTATATCTCTGTTACAGCCGGACAGTGTGTGAAATCGTATTTGTGTAAAGAAAAGAAAAGAAAGGACAATGATAAAAAAAGAGAACTGAATATAAAAGATAAGTAATCATATATTTTGGACCCGTATTAGAAAGATACACATACATCCATAAATATTATGTTCTTACAAACACCTTTCCACATGTCAAAATAATAATTGTAACTCCTATCCCATCTCTTTTGTGTATGCATTGATTTCTGCATTCGTAGTAATTCATACTTATATTTTTGTCCATTCGGGTTCAGTTGAATCCATTTGGAGTTAGGCGAATCTTGATATCCCAACGTAAGTCTTGAGATCTGGTTGTCAGATGTTTTTACTCATGCTTGTATTTTCTTTTATTTTAATATTTTGTATATCTATACATATTAAAGTTCTTGTATCAAAATTCGCTAAGCCTTGAATTGTGGATCAGTATTCGTGTTGAAACTGAAGCGAACCTGGGAAAAGATTACTGTTTGATTATCCTAATCGAACAGTGTTCTTAAAATATTTTTTTTGTTTACCAATTGTCCATTGTCACGATCTGAGAGAGATAGCCTGTATCTCTCCACAGGTGTGAGAATGTATATATCTTCTGGTCGGCGTATGATCACCTTATAAACCCATTCGTCGACTAGGGCATATGACATGAGGGGGTGAAAATTTGGTCTTGTCAAATTATTCAACATATCCACAAAGAAAAGCAAAAGAAAAAGCAGATAAAGTGCAAATACAAAATTTTATAATCAACAATTGTTGTCATATTTTTATAAAGGATGTTATGAGTCAAGTTCCTCTTTTAAAGACAAAGTTTTTGTGTGACAAGAAATACATTAGACAACAGAAGATTTTTATAACTATTGGATATTTGATAAGATATTACCTATTTCTAAACACATACATATTTTTGCATGAATATTTAACAAATGCTACATTTTATTTGAAAGCCTTAATTGAAGGAAATACAATTTCTAACTATAAACTTGAAACTTGCAGAATTACATGAGTTTTAAATGCTGCATAATTTTCTATCTCTGTAAATTTTTTATAATTCAATTTTAAGTTGGTATCCATTCAGTAGAAATATCATGGCATATTTTATTAATTTTCAATAAAAACAGGATTTTATTTTGTTTGGTAAAATAATTACAATTATCCCTATGTAAAAGTGGTTTGCAGACATATGTTGAAATGCCAGTTCTTGTATGATAAATTAAGCAATATCAAGCCTGGCCAGGTACTGTAAGCTTGGATGGGTGAGTGGTGTAATAGATAACAACTCACAATTGGAAACTGGAGTGCCAAGTTCCAATTCTAGTCAGGTTTATTATATTCACTTATGCACTTTAGGACTTGTATCATTAAATGATTATTATTTCAATAAAAATTCTTAACATCTAAAAATGTTCTCCAGCTTTAAATAACCTGCAAAGGGTTGATAAACCGTAAAAAGAAAATCAATCATAAAAATCAATGTTAAAGAAAAGACTTAACAAATGACATATCCAACTGGCATTTTCTTAATGTCTTCATTTGAGCCTGTTTTTGTGTTGCTATAAAATTTGAATTTTCTAGAAAAAAAAAAAAAAGGATTGAGACATAAAATTCTCCCCAGTAGCATTAAATGGTATCTGAATGATTCTGGGGACACAAATATAAATAAGGTCATTGGAAGATAAAGATCACTGTTAATCACATGTTGTAAGGATGACAGTCAGTTACATAGGCTAGATTACAGTTTAAAAAACAAAAGTTTTTGCATCTGAAAGCAACCAAAATCTACCAATTGTTCTGAAACCAACTTAAGAGGTGCAGAACAAACTTTCATCACATTGTTGCCCATTGCTACAAAAATCTCTTTCTCTTTGGCAGGGAGAGGTCTTCCTCAAACACTACATTCTTCATGACTACTATGTTTGACCTCAACTGTTGAAAGTTCTAAATTTGACAAGTTATCAAATCATAAGTCCTAATTTCATATGAAATATACTCTTCTCCTATTCCCAATTAAAAGGAAATAATTTCTTTCTGTTCAATTTCCCACCAAGTAAGAGTTCTTTTCTTGTGTATGTAATAACCCCATTCATTTTTGTTTTATTTATTTTTCTATATTAGAATAAAATTTCAATATTTAAATGAATGTTATTATTAGAACATATAGTGTCCACTATAATTTGAATCTATATTTGTTCATTTAGACAAATTTTTAAAATCTTTCTTCACAAACACTAGAAAACCATAAAATTAAACAAGAGTTGCTAAATACATAATTATTCAAGAATTCTAGTTTAATTACAGTCAAGGATTTTTTTCTATTTATTAGACCTGTGGAATTTTGAAGGAATGAAAAATTACTGAACTCATTCACAAAGAAAAAGGAAAGGAAAAGAAACCAGATAAAGTGTAAAACCCATCCATGATAAAATCTCAAATTCCCACAAATAGTTAAAGTGATTTCCAATTTTTTTTTTTAGTCCAGTTTCTTCTTATAAAGACTGGTTTTGTACAACAGGAAATAGACTTGATGCAGGAAGAATTCTTGATGATTCCTCTTACTACTTTGACTCAGACTAGTACTTGGACTGATAACTTGGTATGTGGCCATTTTATTTATATTTAGCATGCAGACATAGCAGTGAACACAATACATGTGAATAGTTAACAAAAAGTACTTGGATCTTATTTGAGATGTCTAAAATTTTTAATAAATATAATGCTTAAAAGCTGAAATTTTATAGACTAACAATTTGATAAATGTTTTAATTGCGTAAATTATAATAAAATTTTAAATTGTTATCCAGTCAGTAGGGATTGCATCTTATTACAAATTTTCAATAAAAAGATTTTTATTTTGTCTTAAACTAATTAATAAAATATATTCTAATAAAATGTCCACTATAATTTGAATTTATCTAATTTTTTCATTTTACTACATTTTCATTTATAGAGATTTTTAAGTTTTTCTTCAAACACTATAAAACAAAGCATAAGTACTTATTCTTCTGCAAAAATTATGCAACTTGAGTATTAATTCTTACAGAAAATTTAAGCAACTCAATTGCTGATTAAAATCCTAAGTTGTATATAAAAAGTGTGTACATGTATCATTTTATGTTAGGATTAATAAAGCATAGTGATAGAATTTTATTTTGAGTTAATTGTATTGTTTACAGTCATTAAGCTTTCTTCTATTACTCAAAAATTGAAAATATGTTATAAATCAGTTTCCATTTAGAAATTTAAAATATTTTATCAATCACAAGATACCTTTTAGCCAGTTTTTGTCAAATTATATCAGATACAACAAAAATATCAAATTAAAGAAAATTTCTTGAAACCCTAATAAAACAATAGTGAATATGAGAAAGTATACAAAGGAAGTTCATCTGTCAGTATCATAGTTTATCTTAAAATTACAAAGAATATTCAGCACAAAACAATTGTCACCTGTAAGTCAACACATGAGAATTGAATTCTTACAACAATCATGTTTCTAGCATCATACTAATGAACAATAAAGAGCCTGTCAGCCAACAAAAGTCTGCATTTTATTGATTAGCTAACACAAAATATAACTTTTCACACAGCAATCAATATTAAAAACCAAAACCCTCTAGGACCATATTCTTCTTGTTAAAAGTTGAATGAAAGAAAAGTAAAAGAATTTACTACTACTACTAATAATAATAAAAAAAAACTCAATATTTAAATGTTTTTTGTCCAAGATTTTAAACATGTAATGGATAAATATTTTATTATAAGTATTATAAATATACAACTTACTTAGAAGGACAAATATTTTGATGTTTGTAGCAGGTATTCCCTGACATAATTAACTTTAGGATGTCCATTTGTGATGTGATATTTTGCATCCATAAACGGTCATTCATTTCAACAAGAGATTCTCTATCAGAACCCATCACTTTTACAGATGGAATGAAGTCTTCAAATGAATAGAGTTCTGGTTCCCCTCCATTTCTAAAATAAAAAAAAAGAATTAACTTGAAATATATTTTTTACTTGTTTACAGGCAAGTAAGAGGGAAAATAATTATTTTGCTACTAGTTTTTATGTCTCAATTATGTTACATAAAATGCATATAAAATTCATTTATATGACCAATTCTTATTACTTCTTTGAATAAGGAAAATGTAGATCAGTGCAGTTCAATAATGAATATTTGGAAATTAAAGTTACAAGATTATGTTAAATATGGTTCAGTGGGTAAACAATTGCATTTCATTCAGGATAAGTCATTTTCTCTCATAGAACGCACTGACTGCAAATTGTCAACTTGTGTATATAATCAAAACAAATGATTGAACAACCATTAATTAAACAAATGAGAAATATCCCTAGTAAGTCATAAATAACATTTATCAATTACTTTGTAATTAATTTTGTGCAATATATATAAACTATAAATATTAAAAAAGATTCATAGAGTGGGAGGTCTTAAAATATGAAAGAAATGGATGTGTGGCAGCATCACTGCACAATCAAAATTCTCATTCATAATTACTTAGCAAATTAGGAGGGTGTGCAACCCAGATTTACTAGCAGCTGACATGATTGAGTTCTAGAGAGACATTATTTGAAAGAATATTCATAGAAGAAAATGGCTAGCTAATCAGTAGGGATTTGAAGAATTCCATGTTTGAGGTAAAAAGCAAGTCATACTGATGGAGCTGTCCTAAGATTTTTCCTCACATAACAGAAACAAAGCAATGCACAAGAAAGAAAGCAAGTTGTTATCTGGATATTAAAGACATCAAGAGAAACAAAAAAGCTGACAGTTTAAGCTAAGTGAAATGAAAAGATTAAGAACTAAGAAACAGCTTAACATGAAAAATATTCTGGAATATTCTGTCCAATGTTTCAGAAAGAATTAAAGCAATTAAAAAATTGAGTTTAGTACATCAGAGACATACAGTTGGAAATGCTCCCACACTTCTGTTAGAGTTTTTAATGTCGTTATTTTTTCTCAATTTTCTTTTCTTATATAAAAATTTGTATGAAAATTGATGCTGACATAATGACATTGTGTTTTCTATCCAATTTCTCTTTGATTTCACTTTGCCACACATATATTATTTCTCATTGCTTTGTTTCTGCAAAGTTTTGCATTGGTTGTGGATTGTGGATGTTATTGTTTATGAAGTAAGACATCACAAATTCATAGTGCTGGTAGTTTAGAACAATCTTAAGCTTACAGTTGAAAACAAAGTTATTAGACTCTCTTATGAAAATTTAATACTCTTCAAAAAATTTTTCTCAGTGATTCTTAAAAAAAGCAGAAATTTTTAACATATAACAGAACTGGGATAACCACGTGTAATGACATTTGGATGAAAATTTCAAAATAAATGAATTCAACATATGCATGGATTATTTTTTAAAATCATTTCACCCAAAGCATGATAATAAAGTTACTAAGGCCCAAATGTGAAAGAATTAGAAAAAGAAAAACATTAAGGAACAAGAATGATAAAAGAAGTGGAATCAAGAAAATAGTAGATAAAAATTGACAATTCATTTAAATTTTGGAAGATCAAATTTGGCTGGAAGAGAAACCAGAAGAGAGTTCCACAGGTGAGCAGTGCAAGAAAAACTATTAGCAAAGAACTTATGGTTATTTCTAGCTAGTTCAAAAGTAAAATGGTGAGACTTTATTGCCAATCTAGTACTGTGCTTAAATTTATAAAGTCTAGGCACCATAGAGCAAAGTTCATCAGAACAATTACCATAAAAGGATTTATAGGAAAAGGCATAGGGAAGATATGTTATGGCGGTGGCAAAAGGGACTGAAGTCGATGTGCCAGATCAGGAACATTGCAGATCCTTTTTGATTTTATCAAGAATCTCTAAATATATAGCAGGGGCACCAGACCACAGGCGAGAGAGAAAGACCGAGAGAGCGAAAGACGAGAAAGAGAGAGAGAGAGAGAGAGAGAGAGAGAGAGAGAGAGAGAGAGAGAGAGAGAGAAGAGAAAGAGAGAGAACGAAAGAGAGAGAACGAAAGAGAGAGAGAGAATGAGAGAGAGAATGAGAGAGAGAACACGAGAGAGAAAGAGAGAGAAAGAACGAGAGAGTAAAAGAACGAGAGAAAGAGAAGTTAATCCACTCCTTTTATACTGCTTTATAAAACTCCTCAGCAAGTGTTAAAAAGTCTCTTGGCAGGCAAAGTGGGATAATCCCATAACAGAAGTGTTAAACATACTATTTTCCTTAGTAAGAGTTAATTTCTTTTTATTTGCAAACACAGAATTATTTCAAACAAACCAAAACCTAACAGAGTAAATGTGATTAGAATTTTTTCCTTATGAACGGTCTCTTTTGTTGTGTATTGAGGTGCTACAACTTAATACTCTAAGCTAAAATTAACAGGAAGTTAACGCTGTTAATCTTGCAATATATGCACATTATAATACTTAAGGGTTTGAGCTGCCATTTGTGAAAGCATGTAAATAATAAAAGAAGTCAGTTTAAATTAAAGAATGTTGAATGTGCAAGAGAAGGATATGCAAAGTTATCAAAATGATTTCAAGAGTGAGAAGGTTTATCACATTCAAAGAGTTCATATTATAGTAGATGCAGGAAGCAAAATATAAAATCTCTTGAAATAAAATTAGTGCCTAGAACAACTGCCAAGACATTAGTGAATGACATTTTCAAGTTTGGAATTATAAAATTGAAAGCATACATTACTTTCAGAGAACAACAACTCCCAGAAGGCCAAAGTGAAAGCTGTTGATTGGCTTGACAAATCCCTGACGTAAACTCCAAAGAAAATATGTCGTAGTGAATTGAAAATTGGAATTTATGTCAGAAGACCATCAAATCGCGGTGGGTGGGGATCTTGAAAAATATTCCAAAGAATATTGGGCTGGGATTACTCAGGAGGCATACCAAAATGTTGTAGAAAACTATAATAAATGAATGTAGACTGTCATTCAGCAAAAAGGATACACAACTAATTATTGGCATTTTAATTACATTTATTTCCGTAAAGAAAAATAATATACGCTTCCGAAATATATATATATATGATGGGCTCTCCCTTCGTTTTCGACGTATGAGTGTCTTTCAGTTCAGTTTTTATGTTTATGTTTCGTATGAGACAACTATCCTGCACGGGATTTGCAAACAAATCCACACGAAGGGCATACTGAAGGGTTGACCGTCGTATGATCTGATGTATTAGCCCGAGATTTAATGTTGATTCTTAATTCTCTCAGATGGTTGAGATGATTCTTTTCAAAGTTAGTTATACCTTGTTAGCCGTCGTTTCTCCAGTTTGCTCGGTTTTCAACAGCAAGTTCGAACTCATCTAGAGGGATGTTTGCAGCATTTAAACTGTATTTGAATTTGTCCTTGAAGCATAAGCAAGGGCGGCCTACATTACGCTTACCATGAAAAAGTTGGCTATACATGAAGATTTTCCGAATCCGATCAACAATTGACGAGTGTTTGAGCTTCTTCGATTGAGGTGGCCACGATCGCAGCGTCATCAGCAAACAAAAGATCACGAATAATGCTTGCTCGAGTCAGCGATTTTGATTTAAAACATTGATGGTTAAAGAGGCCGCCATTTGTGCGGAATTCAAATTTCACACCCATGTTAAGATCACTAAAAGTATGACCGAAAAGAAGAGAGCGAAAAGTACAGGAGCCATGACACAACGTTGTTTTGTGCCATTTGTTACATCAAAAGTTTCTGAAAACTCTCCATTAGATAGAACAGATGCTTTCATTCCTTCGTGAAACGAGATGATGACATTTAGTATACTTTCAGGTATGCCAAGCTTTTTGAGTACTTTACAGAGGGCACCCCTGTTTACACTGTCAAACGCTTTGGTCAGATCAATAAAGACGGTATAGAGTGCATGGTTCTTCTGGCGAACTTTCTCAGCAACCTGACGAAGTGAAAAATCATATCAATGGTTCCACGACCTAAACGAAAAATACACTGAGATTCAGGATAGATGCCATCAATGAGATATTTGATTATTCTGTTGAGAATAACACGAGCGAGAATGTTGCCAGCAATACTTAGAAGTGCAATGCCAAGGGAATTATCACATACAACCTTTTTGTCTTTGTTCTTGAACATATGTTTTATGCAAGCATCTTTGTAGTCCTGTCGAACAGAATCAACCTTTCATATGACTTTAAAAAGCTCAAGGAGTTTCTTAACCAGAGTCCTCCCACCATATTTAAAAATTGTGCGTATCTTTTCCAGGGGCTTTGTTCGAGAACAATTACTTGACAGAATCCTGAATTTCCTTTAGGCATGGAAATTTCCTTTAGGCTAGGAAATTTCTGGTCGCTGATGAATTGAAGCAATGACGTTGTCATCGATGGCAGAGGTGAAATGCAGAACACTTTCAAAGTGTTCTTTCCATCGTGATATAATTTCCTTCTTGTCTGTGTCGAGTGTGTTACCGTCAGACAACATAACAGGTAAAATTCCATTTCCTTGTCGGCTGTATACCTTTTTAAGGCCTTCCTAGAATGCTCTGGGATCATTTCTGTCAGCTGCCACCTGGATTTCCACAGCCTTAGTAGACCACCAGGATTCTTTCATTTTTCTGAGAGCATTTTACACTTCCTGCTTATATATACGTTTTTTGATGGACAATTATTTAAGAATATTTTGTACGAATCGTGCATCTTTTTGATGAAACGTTGAACGTGAATATCATTTACATTAAACCAGTTCTGATGCTTCTTTATGAGAAGTCCTAGAAGATCAAGGGAGCTGAAAAAAATGGCATTTGTGAGAGATTTCCAGGGGGATTCAATGTCTTCTGAGATCACAAATGAATCTAGCCTCGAATCCAGTGTGTCAGAGTGTTCTTTCTTCTTAACATCAGAATTCAGAGGTGAGATGTTGATTTGTTTAGTAACCGTAGTGATAACGAGAGGTCTCTTGCGTAAGAGTCGAAAGGATGCTTTGGGGCGTAGTAGAACATAGTCTGAAAGATAGAAAGTGTTGTGGAAAGAGCGGGTGATATTGAAGTCTTTCGCTTCACGTTTCTTGGTGATAATGTGATCAATCATATGCCAATCTTTTGATTTGGGATGCATCGAAGACGTTTTGTGATGATTGGATTGCTGATAGCGTGTGTTGGTGAGATCAAATTCTTGGCAGAGAGGAAGTAGCCCATTAGAATTTATACCCCCAAGGACACCAGGCTATGTCTTATGGTCAGCATCAACCCGTGCATTAAAGTCTCCCATAATAACAAGTTTGTCTCTATATGGAACTTTGGAAATGACTGTACGTAGTTGATCATAAAAGTCATCAATTTCCGACACAGGGGTTGTTCATAACAGTTCACAAGAGTGGCAGAAGAATTGTTGTCGACTTCTAAGACTAGAGTCATAATGCGATCATTTATTCCTTTCGGAAGAGATGACAGAGATTTAGCAATGTCTGATTTTATGGCAAGACTACACCTGATAGGCGAGGATCTTCTTCGCTTTTGCCAATCCAGAAAAAGGTATATCCTGCACAGAATTCCTTAAGTTGAGAGGTGCCTGCAAAACGAGTCTCACTGAGAGCAGCAATGTCAATATTGTGCTTACTTAATGCAATGCGATGAGGGCTGTTTTAAGCTCAGGAAAAGAATCGTTGTCTTGGAGGGTTCTTACATTCCAAGGCCCGAGATTAACACGTTTATGAGTTTTATTTCAACTAAATTGATTACTGTGACTGCATTATTGGATAACTAGAAAACTGCAGCGGGCTGCCAAGTTGAATAAGAGCAAGCAATGTTCAGGGCACCTTTTCTAGCCCCCTCCACGGATTAGGTAAAACACCTGCTTCATCACCATTGGAGGACACGAACAGCACAATTGCTCAGGGTTTTGTGCAAGAACAGCCATCACCTGATGGTCGCCACTGTGGGAGTGTCAGCTAGAAACTTCCAGTACTATCCTGTACCTGTCCCTGTCGTCTTAACTCTCTCGTCAGTAGACTTGTTGCTCAGGCGGAATAGCAAAGAAGGGACACAGAACTGAACTGCAGATTATCAACAAAAGATTTGTTTAGAGTGGTGAAGGCTTGTGTAGAACCAGCAACACGTTTATATATATATATATATATATATATATATATATATATATATATATAATAACACAACTTAAAAAAGAGAAAGAAAATTATATTTACATTCATACAGAGAGACAGACATATACACATACACCGTACTTAGCTGTAGTATACGCATTTGTGTTATGTCCATGTGGTTTGTTCAAACTAGCCGGATTGCTGAAGAAAGAAATCTTCCCTGGGAGAGACAAATACAGTGTGTTATGGCGACTCCATCTAAACTCAGAAAGGGAGCAAGAATGTTTATGTGATTTCCTTATATAGTCCGGAATAGATTGCCATCTAGTGGACATCCTGGCAAACAAGGTGGTGGTAATCTTCAATTATTTTTCGGTCTAAAGCCTATGTCAAAAAACTGGTGTCTTAAAATAAATTATTATTGACTGACAGTGTCTTTATCGAATTCTTAAATCGTTTAAACTTTTAATTCAGTTACTATTTATCATTAATAGTAATGCAGTCTTATCCAAGGCAAATCCTGAGAGGGGGACTGGAAAGTGTGAAAGCTTTCTTCTGGAATTGCGTTTGAGATGTGACTTGATAGAAAGTTCGTTGTTGGAATAACTTAAGCATGTTCAAAGCGCTTCAAACCTTAAACGGCAGTAAAGGGAAAAAGGACTTTATGAGAAAACTCAACTCAAGACACTACTGCATAGACGTTGTTGCAATTTTTTATATATACTGACCAATCAGCAATAGTATTTACAAAACCCCAAGTTGGATCCACTTCGTGTTTAGGATGAACAAAATTTGTTATCAGCAAGAGTAAATATACAGCAAATCTATTCGAATATATTATCCAATGAAATTCACTAAGTCAGAATGATATGATGATTAGATACTGGAAATTGGTTTATAGTGGTTAAACTTAAAGCGATCATCATTATCGCACACACACACACACACACACACACACACACACACACACACACACACACACACACACACACACACATACACCTTTACAAATTCATACCTTTAACAGTATTCATTAATTGAACAGAAAGCA